AATTAGACAGAGAATTTTTCGGGGTTCGGTCTTCTATGTGGACATAGTTGTTTCATATTTTGTTTGAGGTTTTGAACAAAACTGTAATGTCGTGCTGATTGAGTACTCTTCTGATGTCCGCTGACGACTCTGCTATATATGGAATGGAGATTATTGAGGTTTATGTTTTCAGGAATGCGTTTTAGCCACACTTAATTGTGGTGATTGACAATTTCTATCTCTGTATTGTTTAAATACTTACTGTTGCTTGTTAATATATTTCCAATATGAAATGTATAATATAATTCCGCAAATACAAATTCCTGAGTTCATCCCTCTCTGTGTTTTGGTTGAATTCTTGTAATTCGGTCATCTCGAAATAGTAATACTACTATTTCAAAAACTTACAACAATTCGGCGTCGCGATGGAACTAAATAACCTTGGAAAGTTTCCTATAAATGGTTCATCGCGGGAATTCGCCGATTACCTTCAATGTTTCCACGCATGGTGCATGTCGAAGAATGTTCGTGATGACAAAATTTCAGCTCACTTTATTACTGCAATTGGGCTAGATGCGTACAGCCTAGTGAAGACTCTTTCGTTTCCTGATAAACCAATTGTCCTGCCATATCATAAGCTCCGTGAACTTCTAACAATCATTTCCATATAACTACTTTTGAAACACGAGAGAGGGCTCAGTTCAACAAACTAGTTCGTGCTGCCAACTAGAAGATTAGAGACTTTATTCTTAGGGTCCAGATACAAGCTTCAAAGTGCAACTTTCGAGATCAGCTCCATACTCAACTACGTGATCATCTAATTGCTGGAATCAATATTCCTAAGTTAGAGAAAGAGTTAATTCAGATTCCTTCCTGTAACTATCAAACTGCTAAGGATTTCTGTATTACATGTGAAGATGTTTAGTTGCGGAGCTTTCGTCGTCCTTCTGGCCAACATCTTCATCGCAATATTTAGGATAAAGTGAAATGATTTAGATCTCTTCATGAGTGATATAATCGCGTCTTCCGGCCAGCATCTTTATATCTGTATTGACAATTTTCTATTGACTTGGATTTTAATTTTTCTGGTCACATGATTAAATTATTATTCGTTTATATATTTGGTCTACATTAACGTGTTTATTAATAGCATATTGGTTTGAGTAACAGGATTCTACGTATTCCCTGGCACATTTGGTGTTTCCTTTGTTTAAGAGTTCGCCATTATTCCAGTCAAATTGATGTCCACAGTTGCCTATGTGCATTGATATGAAAGGATTCATTATTGTCTTTATTATTAACAAACATCATCTAGTTATCTGATTTGTACTTCAACATTCAGCTGATAACCAGGAAAAGAGATAATTCCGGAGTCTCAGATTTACATAAAAGTACTAAGCGAGATATTGAGAAAAGCGATTGAAATAAACAAATGGATGACTCTTAACACAAATTCTATCGTAGGAAACATCACAGTGACAGAGTTCACTGATAATGAATTCCATGCAGTTCAGCATATGATAGGGGATTCCATGAAATACATGATTTTAACTAGTGGAATTGCAATCCACTGTTTAGCATCAATATTTATTATCTCTTTCCTAAATATTCATATCAATTCCACTGCTAACCTCATTTTCGAAATTACAATTTTAAGCCTGAGAGCAGATTAACACTGATGAAAAATAGCGATTCTCGGTGACGTCAAAGTCCTTCCAAATTCTTGCATCAATTAAGGTGAATTTGCATTTTACACCACTTCAAGTAGAAAAAAGTAAGTTGCTGTGCATCACTTGTTAATATCTGAAGGATGAATTTCTTCCAGTGGAATGTGCACACTGAATTGAATGAATCACATGCTTCATCCTCGAGAGGAAAAAAATTGAGTGGAATATGTGACTTAAGTAATGAAGTGAATTTGATTCGAATGACAGGGATTTTACTCTGAATCATTATGCATATTTAACTGAATAGTTTTCTTGGGTTTATGAAATATAAATTCTGTTGTAAGAGATTTGTGAAAGATTTGCACTGAAAGGAGGATTGTAATGCGTGTAGACGAAGTAAGAATATAGTTGTGTCGTCTAGTGATGTAGAAAAACTGGAAAGTTAGTTATTTTTGCTTATGAATACCTGTTCACCTCATAAAGTGGGATAGATCTTCAGTTGTGTTTGGAGTTTTAGTATGGGTATTACATGCTTTTCATTTTTTATTTCGTGAGATATCTGTTTCTTGCTTTTCCGCAGAGAAAATCTCTAAGTTAACTGTTCAATTTGATAATGGAATTTATGTAAGGACGTTTTATATCTTAGCACCTGAGATATTCGAACCATCGATTTTGGATTTTTTGAAATGGCAGGTGATATGTATTTCTGAGTTATACGAAAATATTTCAAACAAATAAATTTACTTTAGCCAGACATTTCGTAGTAACTGCAGTCATGCCTCTGGTCCTTAATTTAGTGGAGACAAGTTCTTAGTGTTCTACCATCATGGGTGTCTTGACACCACGGTGCATTGAGTTTTTCTCAGTTGACTGATGGAAATCGAATAGAAACCATCTTTTCGGGTGTTTTGCCTATTAGAAGTCATCAGCAAAGTGTACCTAGGCTCCTGAAGAGACACATTTCCATCCTGTTATTCGAAATTGAGTCATTAAATGATGCGGTTTGTGATAATACCACTGAGTCATTTGGGCTCGCAATAGACCCCCTGTAGGACTGTATTGGCTATGTTTGAAAAGACACTGGGCTACAAGTGTGTTTCGAATCTCAGAAAATACATGCGTTCCCTGAATATAGTAAGCGAATATTGCTGATGAGTATGAAATTACACGAAACCCAGATCCAAGGCTCCTACCGTCTGCATCAAAATTAACATTAGATTGTTGTTGTTATTCAGTATCACAAAATGTTGAAGGAAAGGCACCCAATATTTGGAAGAAAGTATACCTTGTCAATTTACCAAGGAAAGGCGACTTACGCTGGCATGGAATCATTTTGTGGTCAAATATAAATCGCATAATTCTGGAGGGAATAAAATATGAATTGGATACACAACTCCGCTTACGAGAACAAGCTGGATCTTATGTTGATCAAATCTCAGATCTAAGTATCGTCATTACCAAACAAAAATCCCTGTCATCTTAACCGACCATGTCAAGGTCTGCAACAGCATCAAATACCAATGAACACTATTAAGTAATTCAAATCTTTCTTTATCCTTTGCGACAGATATATAGCAGTGCGGTATGCCGGGTGATCCACAGAGGTAAGCTCATCGAAGACTCTGAATTGAAGATGAGATATAAGTATAAAACTTGAGCACTGTAGTAGAGCGTTACTCCATTATTGATAAGATTTTTATTTAGATAAATCACACAATGTCGTACAGTAATATTAACTGCTGTTGTTTGGAGCGAAAACTATTGCTCATAATCATATCAAGTTGGTGTGATATGATATGATTATGAGCAATAGTTTGTGCTCGAAATGTCATCAGTTAATATCAACGTATAACAGTATGTAATTTATCAAAATAAAAATCTTATTTATATAAAAGATGGGAGTAATACAAGACTTCCCATTATCACCATTGATATTCTTAAATGTGGTGGATTGCATCATGCGGCATATGGTGAGAAGTGAGGAGGAATGATCACATTAGACCTGAATAAGAACTGTAAAATATTGAGTTCACAGATAACCCATGTCTAATGTCATAGAAATTCGAAAAATTACGAGCGAAACCAACAAACTTGCTAAGGAAACAGCCAAGACAACAATTCAGATGAATATGGAGAAAAACGGAGATGATGAGGCAACCAACAGCAACAACGACGGTCACCAATCACTGAAAATGGAATCAGTATAACTGAGGTCACTTCTTTCATTTCCTAGCAATCATAGTTTCAACTACAGGCGGTAAGGGTTGAAGATATAAATGGCAGAATCAGAAAGGCATGATAGAAATTCACCACTCTCAAACTGGTTTCGCAATTCTCCACAGCGAAAAGAAAGAAGAAAATTAGGATTTTCATCACCAATGTTCTTACTTGTGTCAGACACTTGACCAGCGTGTCAAGGAAGCCATTTTAAATAGGCTGCAACCAATAGATGTGTTTGCCTTAAACTGAAGATCAGGTGGCTAGAAAGAATTAGCAGCAGGAAACTTCGATAGCAAATCGTAAAGAACCTGGCGCTTAACAAATACCAGAAAATGTAGATTGTTCTGACAAATGTTGAGGTAACTGTTGGGTAACATTTCTATCCATGGCTTCTAGTGGAACTGGAATAGGAATCGACGATTAAGATATTTAAAGGTAAAATGCAGGAGATCGTGTGAGAGGGAGATGAGACCATTTACGCGATATTGGGGCAAGCAAAGAAGACTGCAGAAAACAAGACGAAATGAAGTGCTGTTGGAGTTCTACAATCCACTTGGGACCTGAGGGAATAAATATCATATAACAATGCTATATTACTATGTATATGTAATTTAAATATTCAATGGAAGTCGCACCTGTCATTTAGCTTGTGAAATTCTTGTCGTCCACTTCACTGCAGTCATCTCAATTATGTTATCATGTTGTCAACAATTGCTAAAAACTCACATTATTAATCTTACGCAGTGTATTTCAAGATTAACAAATTGGAATTGTATCAAGGTTCACCTTAAACACTAATATTTTATTCGGATTTCTATTCACAGAAAAATGCTTCGTAATGCATCCTGCTGAGAATAAAATCTAAAGCTTTTCTTTCTGCTGATCTATCACCATTCAGAGAGAAATCTGAGATAATCGAAATGCAAATAACACACAGAGACATTGAAAAAGCATCCTACCCACGAAAGTAAAAAACCCCTTCGTACATTCTCTGTGCCTGTCTTGTGCACATGCTCCACTGCTAAGCGAATGAAATCACAAGCTGTCAAAACGCGTTTCACATGACCCCTGACGTGTAAATTTATATTTAAAAATAAACATCAGTGTGTGCTTCACTGAAATCAGGCAAAGTGTGCGAGGAATGATGACCAGTAAAATATGGTTGACTCTAATTTCGTCCATCGCCTTATGTAAGTAGCTCACTATTTCGATAATGTGTTGGTAATTTATGCAAGACAGCGACTTGGTTCCCATTTCAAACAAAAGAATATTCTGAATTCTATTTACTTATTTTATGAAATTGAATTTTTTTTTCATCAAATAACTAATACTTGGGTGATAACTAAAGCCTATCACTTTGATTTAATTCTACAGATGTCATGTGTCTGCCACCAACCGAATCGGCATTTTTGATTGGGCTTTTCTGTAAGTTGTGTTAGCAGCTTTTTACATGCATGGAAGTTATTATTCTTAATAATTCAATGAAATGACGTGTCTCACTGATGATGTCAACCTGAAATGAATGTCTCCTTGATGTCATATCATAGGATCAATCAAAATATCATCATAATGCAGAAAAACTGTTGCTATACAAAAGGTGTAGTTTCTTCCAATCCATAAATTCACTAATATGTCATCTCCGCTAAATATAAACCTCGAGACTATTCATGATAACAACGCACAGCATTCAGCATTAGAAACAGCCACCGACTGATTCCTCTTGTGAAAATCAAATTATAAAGCAACTCTATTTTGTGGATATTTATTACACATAGGACATAATGTATTGGAACTGATAGTCATATTTGACTGTGAGATATGTAACTTATTATTTCCCAGAGTTTCAGATGTTAGTAATTCTGATAAGTTAAACTGGAAAATATTTAATTAGCTTTGATGGTGTGTGAATATTAAATCTAGCTTCGCAGGTGTGTATCATTAGTTACCTGCTTGTAGAGACTTTGTAAGGTGTGTTTATTGCCTTCTGTTTTCAGATCTAGGATAACATGCCTAAAATTATTTTCTACTGATTCTTCTCAGTTAACTCTGATTTCTCTTATGTGTGGGTTTTTAGAAGCATTTTTTCACTGATAGCTAGAAAAAGAGTGGTGAAAGGAACACTTTAAGTGTAGAGGATGTCTAATGTAAATAAAAGTCGAATAACAGTATATCATTTCTTTCTATTTATTTCATCATTCCACAGGTTGGTTCTATCCAGGAGAATACATTTGCGGTTGTAAGCTACCGAATGTGTCATCTGACATATTTTTTATTCCGTTACGTTCCCAGTGAAAAATAGGCCTTCAAGCTAGAGGCTAAAAATTTCGATATCAGTTGTGTTTATTTTCACGACATAGGGTTGCTGACGTCATGATCAAACTTCCCGCTCACTCGGGAGCGAAGTGAAGATGTTTGCTTGCCGGAGATTGAACTCTGAATAACATGTACGATTGGCGAGCAATCTACATATGTGCCACCAACGTACATCTAACCACTCTCATTATACTTTTGTGTATTCTGGAGACACATTTTAACTAAAGTTGGCGGCTTCAGTGTCATTGTATTCTTCCGACGAAATGATTTTATTCTAGAATTTCAGTTGTTGTTTTGGACGACAACTTTGTTGCCAGTTACTATGCTGAATGTTCCACTAAGATGCACTCATAACTTATTGATTACATTTTATTCCATCCATTTTAACAGTGTAGTTTATTGAAAATTTAGCGTGGATGAAATATTACGTGCACAACATCCTGTTTTCATATCAGATATGATGAAAAAGTTCTTCACTGCTCAAAAGTAATCTGGTACCAGTTATATCACAGTGAATCAGTGTATTTTACTACAATTTCGTTTTCATTCACATTTGTGCCTCTGGTCAACAGACTGAAATAAAGATCTGGAACTTCACTGAGGTCATTTGCTGTTTATTTGGTCAACGTGTAGGATAGTGATACCGCATACCAGTATTTTTGTCACTTTTAATTCTCACGAAGAAATAATATTATTTACACATGGACTAATGCAATATTTTCTTTTAGTTTACCATAATCCTGAAGAAGCTGTGGTAAGCAACTTCATATTTTGTGAATGTATAACTAAATACTCACATTTACTCTGTGGTTTTAAACACAATCACTTTTCACGCCTGAATTGATCCCCTGAATCGAAAATATGTACCGTACGGTAATGAGCCACATCACTGACTGTTAAATTTAGGTGGAAATGAAAAGGTTATGTACAACATTGAAAGTAAAAAATCCTCGAGTGTTTTGATTGTTTAATCAATTTTTTTCAAAGATTTCTGAAAATTATGTTAAAGCGATAATTTCCGCCGTAACAGAAGAACTTATATTTGGAAGTAAGTTTTGATGATTACCTTTTTGAATAACATTCCCGTTAGTTCCATATCTAATTAATGCTATATGTTTTGTGAGCGTAAATTTTAATTTTTTAAACTAAACACCCTTGAGAACTATTCAGCGATAAAATCCTAATTACAGTGGGATTAGTGATAACAAACAAAACAATAAATTAACGAGAACTCAAACTATGAAGACTGTCATTCTTACTCGAGATACTAAGTGAACTGCCAATACAGTAGTTTCATTCTTGATTGTATTACGCATACACCTAATGAGATAAAGTTTACAATAATGTAACTATACCAGTGTATATATTAAAAGGTATCTGTAGTTTTCTGGTTATTAAGTCAAACATTTACTTTACTTTGAAGTTAAAGTGCCCATCAGTATTTCAGGTTCTATTTAGCATTATTGAGATTTACCTATATTTTACCTAATGATACTACATCTTCAGTTCTGTTGTCGTTAGCTGTTCTATGTCTTCTGCGTTTATATTTGCTTATCATGTCTATGAAATATTAGTTTACAGATTTTGATTGTGAATTTCTATTGTGAACTTGTCAAATGTTTCAGTGTTTCCTGCTGGTCACACAAGCAGTTGAAAGCACCATCTCATTCGGAATTTTAGACACAATTGTCGACACTGATACATGATGAAATAATACTCTAACATCATTCCTACATCAGCTATCCAAATTACAGTTTGGAATCCCAAGATTTCTTAATCATATCATATGTATTTGAATATTTTTTCATAAAAATTGAACTCCTTGGAATCAATTATCATCTTACTATGTTGCAATGTATGTGATACCATCATAGTCAAAAAATATCAGCCTACCTGTAAGTTGTTATGATATGTATTTGCACAACGCTCGTGCCAGAAATACTGCATACTACATAATTTAAATGGTTGCATAATTGAGATCATTTTTACGGTGTACTGTTGGAAAACACTCACCTGCAGGTATCACATTCGTAGTAAAACCCCTCAGGGAATGCTTACTAAACTTAACTTTTGTATGCACACTGTTAGTAAGCACAAATCAATCTGTCTACTTCTATGATTGAACACGTGTATTAGAGGAGAGAAAAAGAAAGACTGATTTGTATCCAATGTGGATTTGTTTGTTGCTGCTGTGTCAGCCTGTCAATTAAGTTTAAATTGAAAGACTTTTATTACATTTTTGGCTTCCGGAGATCAAAAGTCAGGTCAGTTCATGAATTTTCATTTTGAGTTATTAAATCATTACACATAGAACGAAGCCAACTATTGGTTCTTTTATTATGTACGTAGTGAATATCATCTATTATTTGTGAATTTGCTAACATTCCGTTTCTCCGTAATCCTCACACTTTTAATGAATGCCATCACACACTGACAAATGGTAACTGTCAGCATAAAATATTACCCTGAAAATGCCATGCCATTTTGATTGTAACATTAGGAAAAGCTCTCAGTAAATACTGTATATTTTTTTTCTTATCTTCTAAATTAGAAAACGTAACTTTTCCAGCCCTAATCTCATTGGTGAGCATTGCATTTTACTCATTTTATTTGTTATCTATGAATTTTTCTTATACGTAGAGATTATTGCTTAAATTAATTCGATTGAGCATCCAAACCGTGAATACATCAGCCGTAACAGAATATGCATTCATATCATTGAATTGAAGCACATGAACATTTGACTTGATATATCAAAAAGTGCACCGCCTTGTTCATTACCCTGTAACTTTATTAACTTCCACATCTTTTGTGGTGTACCGACGTATTGGTCATAAGATGTCAATAACTCAAACACTATTTAAATATCAGTTTTCGACTAGCTGAATGTTCGTCAGAATTCACATTAAATAGGACAGTAGTGAGATTTTAATCTCAGAGAAACCCAGAGACATTGAAATTGTTTACCAAGTCGTAGACTAATCCGTAATCGCATTTTTATCGTTTAATTCGGATAGGATTATGTCATTGATTTAAAGGGGAACATGTGAACCATAAGATTGAAATACTCGGTCTTTAAGATTTATACATACCATGTTACTCCCTGAATGGGTAATTGATTTAGTAGCTCTAATCATGGTTGATCTATTTTCAAAAACCAATTAACCACTCCACAGACAGAATTGCCTACTTTCAAATTACGTCTGCCACTTCAATTACTAACTATATACCTTATTGATAATAATAATAGTTAATCACAGATTGATATCGGTTAGAAAATCATTGAAAACCAAGAAGTACTGGACAGTTGTTTTACCTTGGTAAGTGAATCACCGTCAGTAAGTCCCCATTGAGGTTCGTACCCAGGACCTCCCGTTTACAAGTCAAGGTCATATACCATTCACCCACTGAGACTCGATTCAATGGCTCATGAATTCAAACTTCTACCAGTTCGTGATTTAGCGCCATCCGAGTGAGATCCATCCAGATATCACATGTGAGGATGGATGTCCCAACTACGAAATTGGCTGAAAAGGACATTTGATGTGCATAACTTCGTCATTCGATTGAAATATCTAATGAAATCACATCGACTGCGCGGTGATATTTGTTTTACATCACATCATTTAATAGTTAAGTAGCAAGCGACAGACAACGCGTCTGTTGTAAGCATGTACAACGTTTTGCAAATAGAGTATTTCAAGACAATGTTTAATAGAGATTTACTTTCTACTGATTTATAGGTCGGACTGAGGTTACCATTACTGACTTTTTATGTTTCAAATTTATCAAAAAACAAAATGTGATTTTTTTGAAAACAAATTAACTGTTCAGGATCCTTAATGACTTCTGTCCTTTGCCTGTGTTTAAATGAGAAGTCATCATTTATTAAATCATGTGTCCCATGTTTGCAATGATATCATTTTAACTTTAGTAAGGCAAGAAGAATTGAGTAGTTGTGCATTGATTATCCTGTCGTCACAATTATTTCATGATTCAATTTTAATGTATTCAGTTGTGAGTTTTAGTATTACTCAAGCATTTCTCCATGCATTTATTCCTCTTGATAAATTTAAATAAAACAAGAACAACAGTGGTTTATGCAGAATAATACGGTATCATCATTTATTTCGTTGGCTTCTGATCAGCTGCTTATAGGCTAAATAAATTATGATGTTTATGCACAGAAAACTTTTTAAATACTTGCAAATTGTCAATTTACCAGTTGACAGAAGGTTTCACAATTAGTGAACAGTGATCAGAAAATTGCTCTTATATAGTTTTTACACAGGCAGTCCAAGTTTAAACAAAATCAGTATATGCATACAATGGTAAAGTAGTTACGTAATAAAGATGAGAGATGTATAAAATGCAAATTTACCAACAAATTTTGTAGCAACGTACTGAGTTCAAATCACATCAGAGAAACAAAGAGACAAGCAAAATTGCAAATTATGGAAGGTGTGGTGAGGTTAAGGGCAAAGATTACGTAATCAAATCGGAGAATCAAGACATTCAGTTAAGCAGGCAACGTTTGCTATCCAAAATTGAGTTTTCATCAGGCAACATTATCTCTGTAAAAGATGGAAAACCTACATTACAGGAATTAATTGCATCATCAGAAAAGTTGATGAATAGTATGAGTACAATCGACTCTATTAGCTGCCATGTCCGCTTCATCCAGGAATGTTCTTCACATAACTAGCGCTAGAGCGAATAGCACAAAATGAATACAGTTCATCACTTGCTCGCATAAAGTAGTATTATTATTATATCCTTTAATTCCTGGAGGAACTTAGGGCTTCAGCTGCGCACCTCCATTGCCTTCGGTTTTCTGTCAACTTTTTCACTCCGCTCCAAGTCTGCCCACATGCTTTTATCTCCTCTTCACATGACCTCCTCCAAGCCACCCTTGGACGACCAACTCGCCGTTTCCCTTGCGGGTTCCACTCGAGGGCTTGTCTAGTGATGTCGCCTGATGGTTTCCTCAGAGTATGGCCAGCCAATCATCTCCATTTCTTCCTGCCTATTTGTTTCACAATCGGTTCCTGGTTGGTTCGCTCCCAGAGATCTTTGCTGCTGATCTTTTCTGGCCATCTGATCTTGAGTACTGAGCGAAGACATACATACATAGCAAAAAATAGTTGATAGGATAAAGTTCGAAATACATTCCAGTGTGTTCAGTTTTCTTGAGCTTGTTTCATTAAAATTTAGTTTCTCGAGTTAGTGAATCTGAAAGTGAAAGAACTATAAGTTTGTTATGATAATATAGGCTTACCTTTAGCTGTTTCTATCATTCTCCTTGTAGTGGCCAAAACTGAATCATGGTTGTTTGAATTCAAGGAACATGTACCTAAATCATAATGCCTAGAGTTTTGAAACTTCCTTATGAGATGCACACTCACAAGACGCTCAAAGCACAGCAAAATGATAACTGTGCCTTGATTTACCAATAATAATAGCAGAAACCAAAAATTACCTCAAGGGTGGTCTCAAGTAGCTACACAGTCTAGTGAATGTTCTAATGCCACTCGAGTAGAATAAAACTGGTCAATCGAAATTCAACTGCATGTACTACTTTAGAATCAAGTAGAATATTCCCAACAAGGTGCGGTCACATGTTTGTCCACAAGAATCAAACATCTACAGTCCAAGGTGAGAATAACCTCATTTCACTTAAACACAGTCAGATTGTAAAAAAACACATTATCAACGTATCGCGTAACACAAAAAGCGTTACAATTAGAGATTAAACAAGGAAAGATACACATAATAATCATACAGTCAACATATTATGTGCAAGCGTCAGAAGAATTACTCATAGTCTATGGGAAAAACGAATAATAATTATAAAGTTGGTTACAGGATTTCATCATAGGCTGACATTGGTTTGAGAACCATTGGAAAACCTAGGAGTACTGGACAGCTGTTTCGTCCTAGTTTAGGACTCTTCAGCAGAACTCCCAGGTTTCCTATTCGTGCTCAAACCAATGTCAGCTCATGATGAAATCCTGTAACCAACCAACCAAATCCCTACAAACGAATACTTGAATTATAAGGTTGATTGAGGCCTCCCATAAGTAGGATGGTAGTTAGACCTTACAAAGGGGATTTTCCAAAAAAAAATCTTTCTGTTACACCTTTTAATTGACTGCAACCTGAACAATATAGGTATGTGTTACAAAAATGTTTTGAACATGCTTTTTTCAGCGACAAGGGTCAAGTATTGCTATCCATGTGCAACAGATTTTCGATATGACGTAGGTTTCTGGATTATTAGAAGTCAAATAAAGACTACACTTAGGAAAATAAGACCAATAGACCTGATAATAGATTTCTAGATTCGAAACTAAAACCAAAACCGTAGATGTTGTATTAAACGAATATGAAAGTTGTGCAACTAAATCAACCATTTCAGAGTACACAACTAATTCAAAACGATTTCTAAGTTATAGAGTAGAAGCCTAGTTGATCAATCAGAAAAAGTGCAACAACATAAAACGTTAAAGCAGAAAATGCCTTAATGAAATGGCCAAATCACAGATAGGGTGAATCATTATCAAGTGAAATAAAAGCTTTTTTTAAATAGGATAGAATATACAGAAGAACGCATGACATAATTTAACTTTATGGTTTTCTAAGCGTTGTGACACCAAAGAACCTGAGAATGGAGGGCTCGAAGGCACTAAATAGTACGATTGCGCGTTATCTATTTGACACTGACCAAATTATGGCTAACCTCATGGCGTTTTAAACAATTTGTAGGAAAACGATTCTTATAATATGAACAATATTTTGTGAAAAATGAACCTAATATTAATTACCTCATTTTCAGTTTCTCGACTATTCCTACTTGATGGTCCGATATCTTGTTGAATTTACGGAGTTTCTTGCATTTGAACTACTAGATACAGTATTTTAAATGTTTTGATGTAACTAAAGGTCAGACCACTTATGTATTCCACTAAACATTATTCACTCTTCTTCCCTATTCGTAGTGAGTCTGCTAAAGATTATGTCAAATTATGTAGGACTTTTGATTCTGTAGGAAAGATTTTTGGCGTACGTTTTACTCACCTAGCTAGCATTTATTCACAGAGGTTTGAATTCACGAGAACATTCAGGTGAATCCATTGCATCGAATAAGCAACTCCGTCATCACTCACAACGTCTTCCTTGTTTCTGTTCACAAAACCACTATAGGTGTCTTCATTAGAATTCATGCCTTTGCAGTCAAGTTGTGGTGAGAGCTCTCTGCTAGCCAAAAGTGTAGATGACAATTCGCGTCCAAAGTTACTTTCCGAATCGTGGTCATTAGAAAAAGCAATAACCTTGAGGAGCTCATCAGCTAATCACTGCAGACTTAACGTGTGCAAACACGATTCGTAGATAATGGCCTGACTTTCTAAGAAACGGCCCCAAAGCGATGAAAGAATAACCTCCAGCAAGAAAACATTTGATCAGAAGACGTAGCTTATCTTCTAACAATAACGAATAGTGATATACAAAAAAATCTGTGAATATCTCTCGATTTTCGAAATAAACGATCTGTTGCCTGACCCTTGTCTTATGTCGATACGAAATTACATAAAGTGAAAAGACTTTGTTTGACAACGATTTTCTGTAAACAGATTGACAGCTAAAGCGTCGATGTCAACGATCGCTCATCTATAAGATAATTACTCCAGCTACGGATCAATCCGCAATTTTTCAATTTCAATCGTCAGCACACAACTGTTGGTTTTCTTTCAAAGAATTTGTGCAGTCATAGTAAAAATAAAAAAAAAAGAAAGTGGTTTTTCGTTAACTTACTTTAGGAGTAAGAAAATCATAACGGTTTTGAACACACAGAGAAGTTCTCTTTGTATTTTCAATGAAACACTCGTCCTTCAAGTGATATTCCTTCACAATTTCACGACATCTACATGAGGAAATTAGACAGGTTTATTTTTATCAGGATGTTGAGATGCCTAAAAATGGCTAAAATACCATGAACACGAAAACACTTAGAGCGATTAACCAGATTTACATAAGATCAGCTGTTGTTCGTCCTGGTGTGAATTAGATAATCTGTCTAACAGTAGTCAGTGATATTAAATTAATGCACAAAGGCGAATGCGAAGCTCTGTCTATAGATTTTAATTATCACCTACCTAACTCGTTTATCGACAAAACTGAAAGACAAACTCAGTCTGGGTATTCCTTCATTTAAATGTCTGATTTGAAAGCCTTTGACAAGCAGTATCAAACTTTTCCTCTTATACAGTCAAAATGTTTACTAGGGAGAAGAGTAGGGCAGTTAAAAAGCCTACAGAGCAATAATAAGATCGGCAAATCTCAACCAGACAATGGTAATATAATTAAATACTGTACCTGTATAGAATATTACAAAATCATCTGGCAATTATTCACTTCTTGGATGATATAAGGTTAAAACTAGCGCTGAAGCTGTTGTCATAAATAGCGACGTGATCTCCGGAGTTAGATCAATTCTTTAGAACGATGTCATAACGATAGAAATGTCAATTTAAGGCTAGAAATTGTCTTCGGAATTCAGAAAAGTATAATAAGAGTAGTCGGATGAAATACTCAGAGGCTTACATTGGCAAATAATGTGGTTTGGAGCGAGGTAACTTATAGATTGATTATACAGACAGTACAAAAAGCAACAATGTTATTCGAGTGGTAATTTCATATAAAAAGTGGTAAAAAGCTGCACATGTAAAATAGTAACTACTCTTCACTATATAACCTG